ATTACTCCACCAGCAGTGTACTGAGGAGGTTGCTATCATTTATTCTGAGATCCGATTACAAGAATCTTGTTTTCTCAAAATTAGAGAAGGTGTTGAGATTGTTGATGGACAGTGCTTGTAAGGTTACAGTGACTTCTCTTAGTGTATAGAGTAGCAAAGTAGACTTTACCTTCCTCGCTAAAGTTCCAAAACAGCCACCACATGCTTTGCACAAGACCTCAGGGGCAGTTGTTGAATGATTATACCCCGAGTTCAGGTAGGTCTGTCTCCCTGTGTTGCCGTTCCCTTCCACTGTGGTGGTGTTTGTTTCTACACAGAGCCAGCTACAGCAGGATGTCCACATGCCTGAAAAAAGCAGGAAAAAATAAAGAATTACCCAGCTTGTAGAATTAGATGCACTGGAATTATAGAACATCCCCAGAGAGTGTACTGAAATCCAGTGTAGAACCTTAAGGACATCAGCAGGTAGCTCACACTTATTGTTGTCACAAACGCAACCCCTGGGTATTATTACTAGTCGAATTATAACTTGCATCACTTATTCAGATCTGTTAACAAAGGTTAAGCTACAGAAATGTTGCATCTAGCCTGTCCAACAGAAAGCCTTCCTTATTAACTAAAAAGTTGACTGAGCCGGATTCGGTAGAATTTTAATATTCATAAAAGAGAAGTGTCTCTGCAGTAGAAAAAATGGAATGCTTTACTAGATAACCCAAGAATGAAAAACACCTACAGTTGCACTGTCCAAAAGCCACAATGAAGTCTTTGTTCCACAGACTTAAACCAAACTTAAACCATGTAGGGCAGTAGAGCACATATTTATAGAGAGCCATTTGATTCCAATGTTAAGAAAGTAAATATTTAAAAAATGTACTTATTTCTACAATTCAATTTTTATTACTGTGCTATACATGCTAATGTGCTCCACTGGTAAAAACCAAGACAGATAATTTTATCATATTGGTTTAATACTTTTTAAATTACGTTACTTCACCCGGTACCATTAGTCAATTTGCAGTTAAATAAAGTTCTCAGTATTCAAAAATGCAATATGAACAATGCAAATACACTTTGTGACTTTAATAGGTTGGAATGTTTCAGCCAATTGCAATATTTTATCCAGATACACCCTATTATGGAAACTGGACCAAGCAACACAGCTGTGAATATATTAAAAATAAAAATATTAAAAGCCTGCGCAGGGTGCAAGATCAGTGAAGAACAAATTCAAGTAACCAATTAATCAATTCTGAGCTATGAATACAGTGTGTTTTTGAAATATTTTGATTATACAGCACCTGGCCCCCACAACACCCCCCCCCCACACACCTAAACCCTATAGAGCTGGTTTGGGATGAGTTGGATCAAAGAGTAAGAGTAAGGTAGCCAACTGATGCCCAGAACTTGTGGAAACTCCTTCAGGACTGTTGGAGAAGCATTCCAGGTGGCTACATCTGGAAGCTGGCTCAGAGAATGCCAAGAGTCTGTGGTACTGTCAAAGCTAAAGGAGGCTGTTTTGTAGAGTCATATGTTGAACACTTCTCTTTGTTGAACACTTCTCTTAGTCATTGTAATGCTCAATATGTATTACTTCATTCAGATCCAGTCAGGCTTTTTACTATAAGGTGAATACCATAACTAAAATAGACACAAATGCATTAAAAGCAGGTATGTCCAGAGTTTTCACTGGTACTGTACAACTACATATATATATATATATATATATATATATATATATATATATATATATATATATTTATTTATTTACTACATATTGATGACAATAGTTTAAGACATCCAGATAAGTTTATCAAAACCACTGATAATGGTCTAATCAGTAAAAATCATCATGAGATTGAATATTTTATTTGATGATATTCAGTGCAATCAAAAAACTGTGTTTTAATACAAAAATAAGAATAACTGATGTATAGGTTTAAAAAAAACACTATTATACCCAATACAAGGTCAATGCATCATCAAGTTTTTGCAAGTCCTGACCAGAACTGTAAGAACCAGAAATGAATTAAAGCTCTGCTCTCCTCACTGTAAACAATTAAACAATGACGGCACTATGCTGCTCAACACACAAGGACACAGTTCTATATGTAAATGGTGTCCCACTTCAGTGTTTATGGATCAAAGGTCTAAGGGACAGGGCAAAAAATACATATCCGGCTTAAGTCTATGATGAGACACAAACAAAAATAAACAGAAGTCATACACAAAAAATATTTGTGAACTTTTGTCCTTATGTGGATAAGTTTGCCTGTTGTGAACTCTACTTCATTTTAAAAGATCAGCGAGAAATTTAGCAAAAAACACACATACACACACACACACACACACACACACACACGTCGAAGTATACTACAATACTACATTTATTATTGTTGTTGGAAAACTGATTCTTTGTCAATCCAAAAGGGAGTGGGGGAGAATTTTGAAAACATGGTTTTCATTTAGGACGACTTGGACTATGTCTTTGTGGGCACTCCCTAGCCTTTGTGTAAGGACACTAGGCAGGTCTTATTACACACTTGCGTGTACTGATAGCCAAAACATGTTACAGTGTTTCAGCTATTCCCGTATAAACTGTACAGTGACTAAGGTCAAGCTGAATTGTTGGGGTAGTTAAACTGTATCCGCTCACACATAAACCTCGCACTTGATTTGAAATATTTAGCGTTTCATGTATGTCATGACAGCCAAACGTGGATACAAACAAAACGAGCGAAGAAAATGTCACAAGACACTCTGTAGTAACATTTAGCTGACAAAGATCATTTCCCACTCTCTAAGTCACAAGATAAGTTACCCATTCCACCCTAGGTGGCTTTAGATGCCAAGTACACAGCGCAGCTAAGGAAATCCATCTCCGCTTACAAGTAAATATTTACGGAAGCCACGAAGTAATGCTGCAACAACTCCGTAAAGCATCAATTAAGTTAAAAGCCTACCTTCTCGTCAAGTACAAGACGTGAAGCGTATATTTATATTCGTGTCGCAGGCTTCTTGAGTATTTGAACATTTGGCTGTAAAGTCGAACCAAGGCGCAGACCGAGCACCGACCTTTTTTTGTTTTTTACGCGCTGCTAATGCCGTTCAGTTAAAATTGTCTCTCACTGCTGACTGAGCTCGCGCGCGTTTCCTTGGCGATTTCTTAAGTTTAGCGCACGCACGCGGGTCCCGAACGCGTGTTGCGGGAAATTACGTCCTCTTTGTGGAGAGGTACTTTAAATATATTAGAGTTAAATTAATGCACATCGCTGTTACTGAACTATATGAACTTAGTTGCATTATTATAAAGTATTATGTAAACACTACAGACAGATGGTTTTTTTAAATATTAATCCTCTAATAATAATCATGGTTCCAACTAAAATGACGTGACGGCAAAACGTATACAGCCACACATTAGCCAGTCATGCCCATTACAGAGCTTCTACAAAGCGGTCATTCAAGTACTTCGCTGTCTCTCTAAGCGTTACATGTGCAATGTTTAATTTAAGCTTGCAGTAAACACTCCATGCAAAGTGGTATCGCCAGTAGAACGCAGTGACATTTAACAGCAAAGTGTATTAGTTAAGCAACAGAGTTTGTGATCAGATGGTTTCTGGTTAGTATCCCGGGACAAACAAGGGTACTGTGTCCTTGAAAAAGTAATTGTTTAAATTTATGATTTTGTCTGTATAAGTTCCTTTACATTTGTTGTTCAGTTTAACTTAGCAATGGAAGTATGTACACAATATCTGAGAATGCAGTAAAACCTCACATCCCATTTCGACCCATATTTCATGTTTCATAGTGAAATATAGTCTAACCCTTATAATACACAGCTCTGAACTTACAAAAAAAATTCTAAAATCCCAAGACTCTATAATGTAGATGTACAGACCTACACACCAGCCAGGCATGTCCATAGTGTGTAGTGTTAATATTATTCAAGTACTTTTTCATTTCATAATGTGTTAGGCGTTACATGCTTAATTTCAGATTGTAGTAAAGAGGTCCTACAAAGAGGCACTGCTAAGATTTCGCAGTACACTAAGCAGAGAGGTTTAAGAATTGAGTTCATGACCACATGATTTCTAGTTCATGGCTGTTGTGTCCTTAAGCAAGGCAAAGAACCCGAATGAATCCAATATTTAAAATATTTATGTATCAAATCCTTTAGATTTAAATAACAAGATTTATTAAATATCATTTTGCATTTTACTTACTAGCAATAATCCATATCTGGGTAACGCCTTCATTCATTCCCACGTCAAAATACATACTCCACACCGTAAAACATACTGTGCAATTTCTCTACATAGAAAAACGCTTGACCTTTGGCATTTAAGAAGAAACATTCTTAACAAAGACTATCGTAGTAGAAACAGTTCAGCATCCACTGTTACGCACTGAACAGGGCATTTTTTTCTAGATGCACAATTTAAATAATGGGGGTCTTCTACGATTACTATTCATACTGTGGTCCGTTTGATTGAAATGTGAAGATATTTCAGGACAAACTGCTCACCTAACAATGACTGTTTCAACATGGACCAAATTGTTTTTGCTAATTCTATTATTAGAAGTTCATGCCGACACACCTTCAGCAGCCACAACATTCAAAATAATTCCACTGTGACCTTATCCGAAAACGTGGGCCTAAGGCTATCACATAATTCGCATCCTTTCATTTAAGCAACTTTTTCGCACGTTTATTTCTTAAATAAACCAGTCGCTATTCAGATAAAAATGCGTATTATTAGCATGCGATACCTTATGTGAAGCAAATCCTTACTGTCGTGGCCATCTCCTTTTCTTGAGTCACTACTGCATCAATCCAAACATTTATTGAACCGCGGTATGTGTGTTAATTCCGACGTATTAGTACTTAGTACGGCAGCAATCTGTAATTGTATGACGTTTTATGCATAGTTGAAGGGCTTCTTTCTCAGTAGGTACATCATGTTATTTTGTAACGGGTGCGATATCTATGGTACCCTCGCGCCTCCGGATATGACGCAATGACGGCGGCTGTTGTCGCGTTCCTATCGTGGCGCGAAATTCTGCGTTAGCCATCCGACCTGTAAAGCTTCAGCTAAAACAGAAATATGGACGTGGAGATGAGAGAAACAGATTCTGAACAAAGTCATTCAGAAATCCAGTCTAAAAAGGAAGACGCTTCCGGGAAGAGTAGTGCGTATGAGCTGCCATGGTAATTTTTATTTTATTTATATATAGATAAATAAGATAGATACCGGGTTGATAATGCATTGCTAATACAGCAGCGTTATCATGCCTGTGTTGGTTATGTACTAAGTAGTTTGATTGTTAACCTCTTTCCGATTCCAAATCATACAATAACTTTTGATAAATATAAGGAGACATATGTCTGTATGTTAATCATTAGTGTCATATTTTAAAGAACGATTATTAGTACCAGTCGTAGATGAGTATTATGAAGTATAATAAGTGTAAGTTTCAGCAGATAGCATAGTGGTTAAGGATATAGCGGTGTAACTTGAAGGTTGCCTCTTAATTTCAATTGAAACTATCCCGTCAGAATACTTATTTGGCTACAGAGTACCTATTAATATTGAACTTTGTAAATTGAAGTTCTTCGATTGCTGAATACAGATACTACATAATAATCTATATATTTTTAAAAACACAGGGTGGAAAAGTACAGACCACTGAAATTGAGTGAGATAGTTGGAAACGAGGAAACTATAAGCAGACTTGAGGTACGTTTAAAGTAAAATTTCTGCTTACCTAAAACTTCGGTATCTAATTATCTTGAGCGCTGACACCTGAATCTGAAAAGTTCGTACTTTACTTGCAGTGATTATATTGGCAGATTTAACTTACTTTGTTGCATATTGGTCCAGGTGTTTGCCAGAGAAGGAAATGTACCAAACATCATCATAGCTGTAAGTCTTCTGCCGTCAGCCAGTGTCACACAAATATAAGTAATTTGAAGTTGGCTAAGGACACTTTTAAATTCTTCAAGTAACAGGGTATTTTCCACCCCCCTCCTAACATGGCTGGGGTTATAGGGTCCCCCTGGCACAGGGAAGACCACCAGCATTTTGTGCTTGGCGCGTGCTCTCCTTGGCCCTGCAATGAAAGATGCAGTGCTTGAACTGAATGCTTCTAACGACAGGTGAGACCATCTGTTAAAGCACACGATTATTTAAAGAGGCACATATCATGCACATTAAAGGTTTGGACTGTTTCTTTGGTGATAATTGTACGTAAATCTTTTGCAGAGGTATCGATGTTGTTAGAAACAAGATCAAAATGTTTGCGCAGCAGAAAGTAACTCTTCCAAAAGGTCGACACAAGATAATCATCTTGGATGAAGCCGACAGGTCGGTGCTTCCTTTACATGTTTCAGTAGACATGTGACAGTCCTGCTGAAATTGAATAGTGAATCAGACTTTATGGTGTGTTTTCCTCTTGTATGACTACATGGGTTAGGGTTAGGATTAGGGTTTGTCCAAAAAAGTTGCACAATTTAAATGAGCTTGTTCATTGTGGTATTCATTTCTAATTTTAATATTAAATTGAATAGTCATCCCTTAATATACTCTGTCAGGAAATATACTCTTAATATACTCTGTTGTTCCTTTGAGGGCACAACTGCTTACCACTGGGGCTGTACCCTCAAGGGTCTACCAATTGTACCCTAGCTGTAGGTAGATATACCTTTTAGTCTACTTTAAGGTGCAAAAATGGACTCTAAGGAACACCCCAAGGTACAAACAACATTAATACACCCCCAATGGTACAAACATGTTCCTCATAGTCCATTTCTGTCTCTTAAATGGTATGTTTACCTACAGCTGGAGTACAATGATGATATTGTACCCTGGCTGAACATGATATCTCATATTCAGTGGGCAATGGAAGGGTACCTAATAGATTTCTAACTTAGTAAAATTAGTCCTCTACCTGATAAGGATGTGAATGCAATGATCTCTTGATGCGTAAAATTCAAGGAGTTTCTGAATACTGCTATCAGCAGACTAGTTGGAGATTAATTTAAAGTGTTTTAGACATGATAAAAAAAAAACTCAGCCCAAAACCAGTCCATGTTTTTGTTTAACTTGGTTGTAGTCTTAGCACTGCTACAGTATGTAGTATTTCCCCCTTTTTGGGAGGGAGTATAGTGGCAAACCGTAAGTGGTGTGAGTGATAGAAATGTAACCTCTCATTGTAGTAGAGTTAATAATCACTAGCAAAATAAAGTACTGTGAATTCTGCATTTAAACAGCTATACTCGGGAAAAGAATCACAAATGAACTCGTAAATTTGGGACAAATAACTACCACAAAAAATATATGCCAAAAGTTATATTGTAACTGAATTTATTGGATTTGACTGGAATGACTGCCTTGTTGTAATGTGTAAAATACTCTGCTTAATTACACTTTGTGGTAGACATATTCATTAGCCACTGCTGGGTGAAACCAGTGTCACAGCCTGTCTGCTTGCTGCTTTCAGCATGACGGACGGGGCACAGCAGGCTCTCAGGAGAACGATGGAGATCTACTCCAAGACGACTCGCTTCGCTCTCGCTTGCAATGCGTCGGACAAAATCATTGGTGGGTATCTGGCACAGGGAGTGAGATTAGAACAGAAGGAGATGTGCTTCTTTCTGTGAAAGTGAATGAGTGTTTCCCATTCCGGTCCTCGGGGACCTAATAAAAAGGAGGAGTGTCTGGTAGGGAGCTGGGACAGATCAAAAACGTGGATCCTCTGTGGGTCCCGGAGGACGGGGTTGGGAGCCATTGGACTAAGTCCTAAAGGAAGAGACAGGGTTCCCACTCTCTTCCATGGATCATTTTCCAGGACTTTTCCAGGAAACTGTAATTGATGATTCAGGCTAGCCGGAAAGAAGACTGGGATTGTGCCACACACCAGTGTTTATCCCTATGGAAGTCTTATTTATAAACTGATATGTCGAATCTGCTTGCTACTGTGATGCTAAATCACGATGTGATGACGTTGCGGTTGCATCCATAGTGTGGCCGACGGCAATTCAAAACTTCATATGGCAATATGTTTGCCGAAATATTTTTCCTGGACAGTACAAGATTATCCAGGACATTTTTACTTTTTCCTCTGTGTCCATGTGTTTTCCATGACTGGAAAATTGGTTGACTAACCCTGAGAGCTGTGTTTAGGTTATTTTGGAAAGTTTGCATCGTTTGACCATCCACAGTTTCTGGGATATTATTGTGAGATGCTAATGTTCAGGATTCACAATAAGATATGGAGACGGGTACTGAGTTACAGGACATGCACGATGCTCAGGGTGTCTGCGCTGTGACTGCAGAGCCGATCCAGTCCCGCTGCGCAGTGTTGAGGTACACCAAGCTGAGGGACGAGCAGATAATGATGCGGCTGATGGAAGTCGTGGAAAAGGAGACTCTATCCACCACTAACGACGGCTTAGAGGCCATCATCTTCACCGCACAGGGAGACATGAGACAGGTTTGCAGATATTTATTAAAAAGAAAAACTCATTATATCCAATAATCAGTCTTGAAGTTATAATATCATTAAACAATGTATGTGTCTTTCACAGGCACTAAATAATTTGCAGTCAACGCATTCTGGATTCGGCTTTGTCAGCAGTGAGAATGTGTTCAAGGTATTGCTCCCTGGGCCCAATTCCACTGGGATTTCATACCAGTAACATAGTGTCTCATTCTGTGAGTTTGGTCCTTGGCAGGTCTGCGATGAGCCCCACCCTCTGCTTGTGAAAAGCATGCTGGAACATTGCGTGAACGCTGACATTGATGAAGCCTACAAGGTATTTTGCTGAAGATGACAGCTTTGGCCAAATCTGAAGCGATTTAGCTCACCCTTTCATTTATTTTTTTTTGTGTCCCTTTTTAGATCATTGAGCAACTCTGGTCACTTGGCTATTCACCCGAAGATATAATTGGGAACATCTTCAGAGTGTGTAAAACATTCCAGATGCCAGAGTATCTGAAGCTGGAGTTCATCAAGGTAAACTGATGCCAGGAGATCAACTTTGGATCAATTGGTCCATCAGGATGGCATCTTGCCAGATTCATTTCGTTCTGAATATTAGATTTTTATATTAATGACTATAGAAGTGCGATAGGCCAGTGCATCGGACTGCAGTAGCCAGGCTTTAACTGCCGGAATGTTCCTCTGTCTTTAGGAGATTGGCTATACTCATATGAAAGTAGCAGAAGGTGTCAACTCCTTGCTACAGATGGCAGGGCTCCTGGGTCGACTTTGTGCCAAGATAGCGTCACCCAATGCCAGTTAGACCCTAACCTCCTTGGCTGCCGCTGCCCTACTCCACTCAAGTGCGCTTACTGTCACCCAACACCGAGCTGTCACTACAGTAGGGGACGTCGTCATCGCCGGATCATCGGGACCATGATAAATGGACGGACATGCAGAGGCAACACAAATCGGTCACTTAAAATTTAAAGTAACCTAGGCCATACTTCCTGATAGTATGGTCATTTATTCTATGCTTATGTTTGTGATAGTAGTTTCGTAATAAAAATCCGTACGTGATGTGGGGATTTTACACGGCTCAAGTTTTTCATTGCCAGCATACAGGATTGTTTGGCACGTTTTATAAATGAGCAACTAAGAATACAAGAAATATGCATAAATATTCTGTATTTCAAAAATATGTAATAATGTTTAAAGCTGTGTATATTAATTGCTGTACAAACTGCCTCTGGTACTCTTTCAACTTGTGGAATCACTGACTTTCTAAAATTGCCTTAAATCTGAATCATATGCGTAACAAAACATGAATTACTTCACGTGTGACATTCAGTGGAAGAAAGTAGCTATAGTGGTCAGAGCAGGGTACTTAATGCGTAGCTAATGCTCACCTTTGCAGAAATGCAAGCCTCTTAGTGAATAACCAGATATATGGAGGGGGGAAATAAATTGAAAGAACTTCCTAGCGGGCCACATGTTCAGCATCAGGCAATTATTTCCCAAGAGGATTGTGCAGTACATTCAAGAAAGGTTTCAGAGTCTGTTAAGGCTGTAATTGAAACGGCATTATCCTGCGTTTCTCTGCAGGCTTCTTCTGATGGTGTTTCGTTGCTCTGATCATTAACCGTTCACGTAATCGGCTTCATCTGTGGCTGAAACAAAAGGTGCACATATCAGTGAGAATTCTGAGGTACATGTATGCTATATGATCAACTGTAAGATTCACTGGGGAAAATAAAAACAAATATACATAGAGGTACAGACCGTCGTCGTCCTCTACGAAGTTGTAATTTGCGTATTCTGGAATGCAAGATGTGATAGTTACAGTCTGAATTTATTTTCTTAAGCTAAATTAAATCGCCAATCACAAGTTAGACACTCTGCCCACCAAAATTTGACCCACTCCTCCTCAGCCTGACACGTTTTAGCTGTGCTGTTTTGCTTTGGGAGGCAGACGACGCAATGTGAAGAAAGCAGCTTAGGACGCTACCCTTCTCTGCCGATGCTGAAGAGTGAGTAAGTCTGACAAGTGTTTAAACGTCTACATAAGCACATATTTACCATCAGTATTGGTATGTTCCTTTGTAGATTAATGCAGCCCAAAGGGTGACAGATACCAGTGTAGGGCCGCTTAGCGGAGAGAGGAATGTCAAATTTAATGTTAGAAGCTTGGAAAGTTAATTAAACCTTATCAGTGGTGAGCGGTTCAATTTTATGTAAAATTAGTTATGTTCATGCACAGTCTGGCAATCCCCACAGCACCAAGCATTATTTTCACAAATAAATATGCATTTTGGGTGCAGAATAGAGTCAGATAATCCCTCCCAACTGGCTTACGGAACCATTAGATTACTAGACAAAAATAGAGGCAAGACAGGACAGTAAGGCTGTGGTTATCACACTACCTTGACACCTAATGGCCACCACCGACCATTAGGATGTGCACAGCTTTTTTGGGTTAATCACACAGGAAATGCAGATAACTCAGAACTGTACTATGCACAGCTAAATAATAATAATTGATACTTTATTGATCCCCTTGGGGAAATTGTTTTTATGCCTCCCTCAACTTGCTCTTTTTCGTAGAGTAAGCTGTCCGCGAAGGGCAGCCACTCGTAGTGGCGCCCAGGGAGCTGAGGGTTAAGGGCCTTGCTCAAGGACCCCACAGACGTGCTGAAGCTGGGTTTGAACCGGCGACCTTCTGATTACAGGCACACAGGCTTAGCCCACTCAGCCAGGTATAGTGTAGAGTTGTGATAGATTGCACATGCCTTGTTTAAATTACTAATTTACACTGATATTTCAGGGACACAATATATGGGCAAAAGTATGCGGGCACCAACTATGCAGAGGAATTGCCTAAACTCACATCCATAGCTGACAGGTGTATAATTAAGCACACAGTCATGCAAACACTGTCAACAAACGTTAGCAGCAGAACGGGTGGTTCTGCAGAAGAGATTATTGACTTTCCACTTGGCACCATATCATCTTTCCAAAAAGTCAGTTTGCCAATGTCTGCCCTTATAGAGCTGCCCTGGTCACATGTAGTGAAGTGGAAACATCTGGGAGCAAGTTCAGCTGTGAGGTGGGGGCCACACAAGCTCACAGAGAGAGACCTGATCACCCAACATCAATACCAAACCTGAATGGCAGCAAATCCCACCAGCAATGTTCCAGCATCTAATGGAAAACCATCCCAGAAGAGTACAGGCTATTATAGCAACTGAGGGTTAGCCGGCTTCATATTAATACCCTTTGATTCAGAGTGAGATGTTGGACAAGCTGGTGTCCACATACTTTTGGCCATATAGAGTACATAGAAATTAGTCAGAAATTAGTAATTATTCTGATAAGTAATTTGCAGTCTTTGTGATAAAGGTACAGCAATTACTGTAAACTGCTCTTAATTTTCATTTCATTTTGCAACATGCATTTGAAGTTGTTTTAGATTTCCATTTTGTCACCAAAGTTATGAAATTATAATTGTTTTAAACTGAACGATTTAGAAACAGGAGATACTTTGCAGTAATTTTCTCTTAATTCAAAGCTGGCTGGAGTATGGAGAGAGTGTTTAACTGTATTCAATTGATAAATTTTTACACATTGAAAGTAATTTACCTGACTGTTGGCATGCTGTGGGGTCTATAAATACATTTTCATAATCTGAAAAGGAGATCATTTATGTTGAGAAAAGCATACTGTTGTATGTGTCTGGCCAAATGCCTCAACTACATTTATTTAATGAAAATGTTTTATTTAATATGAAGAGAAAGTCAAAGGAAAAACCGCTACGTTCTATACAAATGCCATCAGCTATTTTTTGTGGATAATTATCATTAAGACAACATACATTTTTCTTTCTCTTGCTATGCAAGATGAAAATGAGCGCAGGCCAAAAGCTGAACAAAGCAACTAAGAAGATCAAGGTGCCTAAGCCAGTGTGCTGCAAAATGATGTACTCAAAGTTCACCAACCTGGGATATCTTGGTCTGTTTCTGAAGAATTTAGGTACACTGATGTTTCGGCTAATTCCCCTTCTCCGATGGGGCGCCTGTAAAATTATACCATAAAAATTAAACCTATAACTGTTCAGAAATTTTACGTTTTGGCATTTCAAAATGTGAAATGCATCTACATTACATGGACCTCTCCCACGTGCAAACTGGAAAAAATGTGACCAGACTGTCCACTGAAAATAGCTCACAATTGCTCTGTTGTAATCTGTAGGCAATGGAACAAAACAGGCTGCTGAGAAAGGGAGCCAAAGTCACAAGAAAAACAGTATGATCATCTGTGCTTTTTTTACTGCAATCTTTTTTAATTCCCCAAATTTGGTTCCCAAATTAAAGATGAAAACAAATGCAGTAAAGCTGATTTTAAGAGTCCTTGCCCGTTTTCATTTCAGTTAATATCCCTACAAAAACAAGTTACAACTAAATGCTGTCATAACAACAATGAATGCACTTCCTGGATAGCCCGTCACCCCCTCCCCCTTATATTCACAACCCCTACCACACCTTTCAACCTCTAACCCCCCTATACTAGGTTTGGACGCTGTCTAATTTTTCATACCCTCAAAATGTCCATTCATTATACCGCAGTATACGATATTTTGGTATTTTAACAGTATTTTCAAAAGCAACGCTATTCCAGTATTTTGAAATCTCAGTGGGAGGGTCCCCCATGGTAAAATCTGCCAACCAATCCTACCCTACATGCTCCCCAATTCTCAAAAAAAAATCTTTATTAAAAGCCAGACTTTGTGTGACAACGTAATCAGGCACACGAGATCTGTGCCTGTCCTTTTATCTGCCACCACTGACCAGGATTAGAACATGATTAAATTCCCCTACCTATGGGTCTTCTTTAAGACCCCCAATATCCCCATGATAAGATTTACTGGTTGACGGACTGCAATGGAAGGAAAAATTTACTCCATACAGAATGCGTCAGCAAAGTTTGAGAAAGATCCTTCAAATACTTTTTGAGTTCTTGTACTAACAAGGTCAAGTGTCAAAACTGCCCTTTTCTTTGCTATCACTCAGCAGTGCTGCTTCAGTTTCTGTCTCAAAATTTGATCTGTTGAGTCTGTTCCACTTGGTTTGTTACCCACATAATGCGTCTGCAAAGCTTGAAACGGTGGTGGCAGTGGACCAGTCCTAAAAGCACATGCATTCCCTGTCAGTGGAATGCTACAATATATAAAGAATAAAATTAATAAAATACTTACACATATGCGGGTTCAGAGATACCATTATCAACTAAAAAAAAGGTATATTTCAGAGTTAGTTGTACATAATAACCATGATAAACTTGACAATGGATCAGTGAAACATTCAAAAATATATAAATTCAGAGATTGCAAATTCACGAAACTTACTTAAGACATTTTCATAGTTGGACTGGTTTTCAGCAGTACCTTTGGAAAAAAAACATTATTGGAAATATCAATAATACATAATTTATATTATCGATTATGTATATTACATGTAACTACAGTGCCAGTGAAAAGTCTGGACACACCTGCTTTTAATGCATTTGTCTCTATTTTAGCAATGGTATTCATCTTACAGACCTAGAGACAATGAAGTAAATATAGCAACAACTAAGCACGACAGCATTGCAGATTCTTGGTATTCTTTTAACCAGCTTCCAGATGTAGCCACCTGGAATGCTTCTCCAACTGTCCTGAAGGAGTTTCCACAAGTTCGGGACACCAGTTGGTTCCCTTGTTCTTACTCTTATACAGAGAAATACTACAGAACCCATGGTTTGAACCAACTCTTCCCCATGATAGCCACCAACTGGGCCCAATCCCACAGAATCTCCATTGACTTACCCACAGAGGGGTGGTCATTCGCATTAGAACCTATCCTACAACAAAAATGATTTCGTAAAAACAATAGCAGAAAGCTGGCAGTTATAGACATTCATAATCTCTGTGAAATACTGCATATGCGCCAAATTTGTTTCAAAGATTTTATAAGGTTAAATTTGATGTTTTTTAAAGGAACGAGTAAAAGACCTCAACGGTCGTACATTCAGACGGCGCACACTTACTCTGCGTGCGAAGACTCGCAAAGCCTGTTAAAGCGCGTCACTAGAAATGGAAAGAAAAACAGATCCAAAAGTAACCCTAACACTGTTTTTTAGGGTTGTGTCGTGGCATAACATAACTGCGGCGATGAGATGTTTACATGAAAAATATGTGCGAATGATATACATATATTACGGCAGTCTTTTCCTCGTCTTTCTTTTATACACTGTTGCCCAGTCACTTTCAAGCCCAAGTTTATAAAATAGCTAAAAAGATGTTTACACGTAAACAGGGTAATCCACGTAATGAACTACCGCAATTTTATCATTTACATAAACATTTTTAAGCAACTGCCATCTTCTTGCAAACGGGTGACTGATGAGAATATTTGTCTTGTCTGAATTTGCGGCACAAGTTTCCTCTCACCTCTTTTGGATTGTGTAACCGTTATCCTCCGACCCCCATTGTTACTAAAAATATAAATATCTTTTAAATAAATAGTTTTTTCGCAAACATTACATACTGTACCCAAACATAGAAAGCAAAAGATAATATAATTATAAAATATATAAACCACAGTTCAGAGCAGTCATGTATAAACATGTAATTCTACTGGTCAAATGTTTTAGAACACTTCCGTTTCTCCTGTTTTTAATGAAATCATGGAATCGTGTCATTTAACACAATTTCATTTAGGCCTGCGTTTCTGGCTCATCGAAGTAGCCAACCTCTACAGATACAACAGCCGAACACATAAGCGGCACATTCTTTGTATAATGGAACTCGGTAACACTCCTAAGTGTTAGTAACGTACTGATCCCATGTTCGTTCATGACTAATCAATCATAACGGTTCGTGTATTTTATGCAGTTACTGTATTTATGATTTGTACTTGAGTAGTTACTTAGTAAGGTTACTAAGTTACTTCTGCTCCCTCAAGTAAAATGGGTACCATTTTACAATAAGGCTGCCTTTGCCACTTACAAATGGCACCAACCAATTAATAAAAAGAAAACTTATAACCTGTTTAGAATTGTTTATTAATGATTTGCAAAGTGTTGCAACCTAATTAATAACCAGATTATAAACCATTCATAACCCCTTTGTAAGGGCAGTCTTTTTGTAAAGTGATACTATGTAAGGTGTTACCCGGATTTCGAAATTTTCTCTAAAAGTTCTTCTCAGCACTGAGCCAATTGTGGCCTTAACTGTAGGTACCTTCTAAGGTACAGAAACAGACTCTGAGGAACATTTCTTTACCATCGATAGTACATTAGTGCTGTTTGTACCTTTGGGATGTTCCTTTCTGTCCATTTCTGTACCTTAAAAGGTATACAATTACAAGGGTACAACCCCAGTGACAAGCAAAGGTACAAATTTTTACCCTTTTTTCTATGAGTGTAGGCTGCCTGCAAACTGTGACGATACTCACAGTCCCTCAGTGCACAGTCAGTTTCTCCTGCTTATTTTGTACTTGCGGCGTTTGTAATAACTCATTACTGTACAGTAATGAGTTAACACATGTTTCACATTTACATTTATTCCTCGTACACATTAAGACTTAGTTTCTCAATTTTATATTTTTATTTCTAATTGCTCTGCTTTCATCCGTTAGGTCTGGAGACCATGATTTCAAGCCCACCGTCTTGTTCTCTTCTTCTAAAGTAGCTCTGACATTGCCTGAGGTAGGTTTTAGGTTATCTCACTGTTGGATCAACCCCTGATTTACGAGATATAGAGTAGAGGGTGTTGCGTGGCGCTGCAAACTGGTCGTCGCCACTTTTGGTCAGGGTGCCAGTTATGTAGTGCAAGTCGCCAACCTCTTCCTGTCGGAGTTTCCACCATTTCCCAAGTGTCTTTTGATGGTGTAGGACAGTGTATTAAACCTAAACTTTTTTTTCCTCTGCATGTTTACCTTTGTACCATCTCAGATCTTCTATGGACTTGAACTTGAGCTTAAATTCCAATAAAACTGGAAAAATGGGGGTGCTATAAAACGTTCGACCAAAAAAAAACCTTTATATCAAATGCAGTATTACATAGGCCTATATTAGTATATGTAAACGTACAGCATATATACTGTATACATACACACTTAGCAGTATATGATATTGATACGGTTTACTTACAATTGCTGATGTTCATAAAAGGAGTTTTTTGTCTGTACAATTTCTTGCAAAGAAAAACGATACAGTCAGTGCACTGAATAATATGCAGCATCGATGAATTATGTGTACAGACGCTCCTCTACTTACGAACGTTCAACTTACGAACTTTCAGAAATACGAACGAAGAGGACTGTAAGTCCAAATTGTGTTCATTGGGCTCCCGTTTCCCGTCCGCAACATATATATTTTTTCTTCTGTGCGCCAATTCTGCCTAGTACGACTTCTGCCCGCTACTCCCGCCGCGCAGCAGCATAGCATGCGTACTTCCAGCATACTAGTTCTTTGTACTTGGTTATACCCTTAAAATGATGTTGAATAACGACTTACGAACATTTCAAGTTACGAACGGCCGTTCGGAACGGATCTCATTCGTAAGTATAGAGGAGCGTCTGTATTTGTATCACATAATACCCATTTAAGTGGATTTATTACTAATAGTGTTTTTAAAAGCCGTTAGTCATTGTGCAGCGGTAAGATCCGACACTTTTTCATTAATTGGACAAAGGTAAAGTAATTACTCACTGTCTTTCTTTCGGCAGCTGAGACAGCCGACAAGTATGGCTCCTATTGATGTGAACAACGCGATGGCCACAACTGCGTCTCCCAAGCTAGCATCTGTCTTCATGCTTGCGGGGGGATATTAATTTTTTAAAAACCAAAACCTTAACTTTTTTGTGGGGGGAAAAACAAACTCCAGCATTTTTAAAGTCCCATCGGTTGATTTAATACCATTGCCAGAAGACTTGTAAACAGTTCTCTCAGGAAACCTAACGTGCGATAATTCTGCAGATTGTAGTTAGGGCTTAGGAGCGATGGTGAGAGAGAAGGACTCCCACCCACACCACCCTTGATCGAAACTTACAGAGCTGTCATGATTGTTTTAAACAGGTTGCAGTCAAACTTAAACAGGACGTGTAATGTAATAAAAAGAACATAATACAGAAGTTAGGTTGTAATGTGTTTCAAAATTACGTATTATGCAATAACAGAAAAAGTGGTTTGATACATATTTAATACACACACACATATATATATATATTTTTTTTTTGAGAACATAGCTCATTCATTTTGAATTATATGTATCGCCAACATCTCTGAAATCCATTAGCTGCGGTTTTAAAGTACATCAAGACCTCCTTTTTATGTTACATAAATGGAAACAGTCTAAACATCAACATTTTGATTAAAATTAAAACGGTCAACAGATTTTGCTTGAGTTTGAGATGACAATGTTTTAAGGTATTTAACATCATTGTGTCCTACAGATAATTGGTAGTGAGAATGTTTCTCCCAAATAAAATCAAAATAAAAATGAAATGCTGTTTCCAAAACGTCCCCTTGACAATACAAATCTTCATCAAAATGGCAATAGCTTTGTCCCGTTTCCTTATATTAGTATTGCCTTAGAAAATAGATGTTCATAGTAAATCATTTTTTTCACTTAAAAGCATAACAAGTAGTTGCTATACCTACATTTTTATTATGAGCAATGTGAAACTCCCTAGAGTTAAAATGTTAATATATGAATGCATGAAGTCCCACAGGTATTAAGGGATTTAGAAGAGAATTTCAGTACCTTCAGTGCAGTTTCCACAGACTCTCCCCAGGGGTGTCTATAGCAGCATCTTAACAGATCGAAGGCAAATGATGTAGGCTGAGCCTCACAGCTTCCTGTTTCACTCTGAGCCTCTTACCACATCCGCAAACTGGGCGCTGGACAACAAAAGCACAAGTACCACAATCGTTAACCTAAACTTCATTGTAATTTAAGCACACCAGACGTAGGATTGACAGACACACGCATTTTCTAGTTGTGTATCGAAGGGCGATATGTTCTAACATCTATCCCTTTTTGCTTTGAAAACATTAGCTTTTAGTTAATTATACACAATCACACCAATAATGTAAAATCAAATTAAAGATACATCAAAGTTATTTGTTTTAGAAAACAACGAGTCTAACGCTTAGTGTTCAAATAATAGTCAGGTTACACAAGTATATAGGTGTAGCATCTGAGTACTCATGTACAAAGCATCTTTCAGTGGTTAGCCATTGTTCCATCCATCCATCCATCCATCTTCTGAAACTGCTTATATTCAGGGTTGCGGGGGGTTTGGAACCTATCTCAGATGATTAGAATCCTGCCTCCAATGGTTTTCTACAAAGCATTTCCCACAAATAATTAATTTTTGCTTTACATACAGCTCTGTAAAAGAGACCACAGCAGTTTTTTCTTTCACTCATTCCTCGATTTTTTATTTTTTTTTAAAAACTGCAGCTTGGTTCTTCTCCATATTTCATTAATGAAGGGCTTCTTCCTCGCTTTATGGGTCTTCAGTCCTGCTTCTAGGAGCCTGATACGAACTGTCCTAGCAGTGCAATTCACACCTGCACTTAATGTTCCCCATTCCTTTTGAAGATCACTTGAGGTCATCCTACGATTCGTGGGAAACTGATGTCGACTGTCATTTCTACTATCAGAACGTCTCTTCCGCCCTCTACCCGGCTGGTTTTTGGTCATTCCCAGTGTCTCCTGTTTCACCTTGTTTTTGTGTACTGCTGTCTTAGAAACTTTGAGCCTGGAAGAAACCAGCCACATAGTGTAGCCTTCCCCCAGCAGATCCAGGATTACACCAGAATTTAAAAATGCAGATCTGAAATACACACACACATTTTTTAATTAAATATATATACACGCACTACTAACGATGTGTCTGTACCAGGTCTAATCCAGTAACATCTGAAAACATTTGCAGGCGTGATTACTTTTGAGACAATACATTTCAAAGCATTCAGTACTGGCCCACCACGCACATTACAGTCATGCATATACGTGCGTAAAACTCAGTGAAACGCATCAGTTCTCAAAACAAAACCTATTTATAGATTACTACCAGAACAGAACTGAGATAAGTCATATTAGCATGCGCTCAGGCATACATTCTTAGACTAAGATGAAAAGAGATGTTTACTTTGAAATTGCCAATGTTTCAATAGTCATTTACTTCAAAATTATTGTAATGCTCTGCAGGCAGAACTTTGCTTTTAATGATTCCTTTAAGCTTCCGTTAAGACCTCTTTAAGAAAGGTGTCATCTCATTCTTAAACTTTGAAGTAAGTCACAGCTGTAGTTCTGCATGCCATGTTACATGCTCTTCCCCTTCATTACATTGCTTACAAGACACAAGTTATCTTGCAACGAGCTCTTAAATAATTCTGCTCATATTTAACTGATTGGTAGCAAATACCAGTTTGGCTGAAATCAGTTAAAATGCTGAACAGACCCAGCTGGTCAATGTGGTCACAGACAGTTACCTAAAATAAGAAAGCCTGCTATTCGGCATTGACTGATGTCATTTCAAATAATTAGGTGTTTATTTTAAAATACACTTTCACACCTCACTCCACCCATGTTAAATAGTATTTATTATTACATCTGTGTAATATAGGTTTAATGGATGGTTCATACCCTCCTGCTCTCACAGATTCAGTCGGATGACAGCATCTGCCCTGCAATGGCGTCAATAAGCAGGATGCTATCATGACTCAGTCTTCTGGTCGAGTAATTAGCAGCAGCTCAACCTTAGCACCCCGCTCAGACACCTGCATCAGTCACTTTTGTGAGTTAAGAAAAACGTGTCTCTCGAAATCTGTGTTTTTGACGCTAACAGACGATTTCCGGAGTTCCACTGGACCACATCTGAAGGCATCAGGGAATGATTCCTCCAAGATGTCTCTATGGTTGACAAATTGGGTTCTTTGTATTGTTCAGATGGCTTCTGGGAGAGACTGGGAGCACCATTTTTTAGTATCTATCAGACACCAACAAAATACATTGTAAATCAACTAGGTACTTCATTATTGCACAAATAAAAGATCACAGTTTTTCGCATATAAAATTTGCTTTTCATGCATTTTTGAATTGGGGGGTGTAGAGAGGAAGAGCTCAAAAACAAGCAACCTAAACTTTAGTTTTAACCTCAGCGTAACTATTGGGAATGCCTCAGTTTTGCAAAAAAATAATATATTGGCGATCTAGAAAGCTGTGACTCCACATCTGTGACTTTGAATGTGACTGTGCACTTACAAACACAGGAGTTCATCTTCACAAACCCAACTGTCCAGAAATTAAGCTTAATGCTAAACACAGCGGCTATTCACAGGAACGCCACTCCAACAAACCCTAAGGGTGTCCCAATCTGTGCACATAATCAACGGGGAAACATCTGCAGCACATTCCTGTTAAATCTTTAAGAGTACAGAGCCAAGATTTATTGACATATTCCATGTAATCAACACAGTAGTTTTAAGACTCGAGAATTATCAGAATTTTTGTTCTTAAAAACAAGACTATCAATCTGATAGAAACTAAATGTGTACGGACTATACAATTACTGAATTCATCATGCTCTAGACTTTAAAACCAGTTTCAGTCCTCCTTCACACATTACATAGGTTTGAAAAGGCAAACTTTCATAGCACATACCCTGTTTCACATCCAGCTGTGCAAAACTTTAGCATACATGTATGTAGGACACCCAGTAAACGCCTATCTACTCCACCGACTGTCCACATACATGATCAAATCACTTCAAGAATTTACAAGGACTACAAAGCAGTTTTAAATTTTACAAATGGATACAAAGTAGAGAGATGACATATTAAAGAAAAATTAACAAAGGAGAATTTGGCAAGTTAAACCAAACACATTAGCAATTTTGCTTAGAACAGCAACAAAGAAAACATTGGTTATGTAACTCATTCAGGATTCACAAAATAGCAAACATTTTTTTCTTTTTCTATTTCCTCTTTAAATGTTTCTTATAAAGCAAAATCTCAGTTGATGAGATTCTCATGTAAAAGCTCAACCTGCTGATAAAAACAAAAATTGCGAACCTGGGGGTCGGCAAACAGAAATACTACATAAAGAATCCACTCTGGCTGCCAATACACACCTTCAAACATTCAGGGGGAGTTTGGGCTGGCGGAACAACTAACAGACTGCAAGATCTACCTACCAAATTGTTCTTATTGATGCAGGATGAAATTGCTGCGTTTCTAATCATACAAATAGGGCAGCTGACATGCTACATAAGCCAATCGCAACAACCTGGGCGAAAACAGACACAATCTTTTGCTCCTGGGTCCTTCCAGTTCTGAGCAGTGAAGGTGAGAGGCTTGTCTGATTGCAATCTAGAACCTGCTCCCCCGAATTTATCATGCAGTTCAGCCTCGTCAGAGCGACACCAGTAACAAAGCACCATGTTATGAATACATGACAAGCTTTTTTTTGTTTTTTTGAAAGCTAGCAGCAACTGAGCGATTTGGAGGTAAAGCCAATGGAGAAACATTGCAAATTTCCGGTATTAAGTTTAACAGCTACGCTCTGGTTAGTCACCGCGGGGTGCATCGAGTTTACGTAAAGCTTTCCTGGTTTGTAGTCCGAAAGCGGTCACATCAGAGACACGTCAATTTCCGAACTTCACAGGAAGAAAAAAAAAAAAAACGGGCGTCAAGTCTTAGGTGCACGCCACCTCATTCAAGGCACTAGAAGCAACTTCAGAGACTGACTTACAATTACGTAACGTCACTAAGTGGGGGCACACATTGTTAAGTGCTTGCTTTGTAAGACCTGAAGGTCAATGTACGCCTACCATCTACCTCCATACCTGGTCAAAAACTAGATTTTGACGAACATCAATAAGATCACATCTTATTGCAATAACAATTTAGGGGAAAACGAAGGTTCCTACAAGAACAACCACACCGAACACTTAGCTAAGTTTCTTAAAACGTTAATGTCTGTGATACATATTCTCAGGCTTCCTGGATCTAAGCAGACTATGGCCATTTGTTGTTTACTCAGTAGAGGATGGCTAAAATGTAATGCTGCTTTTTGGTAACCTTCCATAAGCTTTATATATGATAAAGTCAGTACATTTTACTGAGTTTAGAAGGACTGGATGCCACGAATCACATCGCCACTGCCACTTATGGAGAATAACACAAATCTGCGGATGACTGCAGACGTTGCCGTCACACGAAACTCAAACCTGCTGTGCAGGAAGTCAAGCCCCCTTAGACTGGCTGTCACGTCACGTCGTCATTGCAGGAAGGTACAGACTGGATGCAGGTCAAATAAATCGACTGGGGGTGAAGACCCTTTGTAATTACAGGTGAAGAGAAGCCAAAGATCGGCTGCTGGCCATTTAAGTGTCATTTCGGATTTACGTGGGGCGGTGAGGGAGGTCATCAGTCTCCTGCACTGTAAAAGAATGAACATAGATAGCTGGTGCGTATTTAACAGGGGAAACGTCACCTTTGGAAAAAGCAGGAGCCTCAGCCAAAAGCAACAGAAATCAATACTGGAAACAAGGTGTGAAACCCTGGATGTAGAAGACATGCACCATGTAGGAGAAATGACCACCACCCTGATGGAACCTTTGATAGATCGATGCACAGAGTCAGCGGACTGAACCTAGATTCCCCGAATAATGCAACAATATGCATTTATTAGTTCTTCAGAGAACAAAAAAAATCACTACGAATTAAAAACAAGTGAATCTCCAGGACTAAGGACAGCATATCCACAAACTGGATATTCCAGGAGACAGCGGATACTCCCATCTTAGACAGTGAGCTGTTTTAGTCTGGCTGCAAGACCGCAAGCAGAGGAAAGAAAAATAACAATAGAACAAAAAGTGCACAAATTACATGCATTGTTTTGATGGTGTGACTGCGACACCTGGAGATTCAAAGCTTTGTGTTCAGACGTGGCGCAGAGTGGCGAGAGCCAGACTGCAGAAACAAACATAAAAAAAACAGTCAGAACATACAGCTCAGTCTGTTGTTTTTAGGGGCAAACTTTGGAGGTGAACTGCAGTGGGTCCCCCTTTAAAATTTCAAGCAACCGACTTTCGTTTACTGTCCAGTGGCTGACACTAATCTGTCCATCCAAAGGAGGGAGGGAGCAAGTGAGAGAGAGAGAGAGAGCTACTGTACAAAGCAGGCACGAAGAACAGGAAAGCAGAGGTGTACAATAAAAACCACTTTTTAAACGGCTGACATGCATTCACGAGCTGCTTGATCTGAGAGCGTGTTTGCGTGTGTGCGCGTGTTTGTCTGCGTGTGTCTGTGTGTCTCTGTTTACTTGCAGCTGAATATATATAATCTTGCTCAGGTGGCAGGGAGGAGGGTCATGGCTCATCTAACTGGTGGGAACCGTAACCGTGGTGACGGCATCTTCCCCATTGGCATGTAAAAGTTCACTACAGTCCCATGCCCTCCTCTTACGACGCCCCCCCCCCAGGTGGAAGGGGGCCCGTCCAAAGTCCAGCTCAGTCTTTCTCTTTGACTATGACTTCTTCCCGCGGCTTGGCGCCGCCGAATATGGCGGAGTGGGGGTTGGCGACCTGGTTCAGGGGGGCGTCCACGGTGCGAGGCTTCAGCTGTAGCCGCGGCCTCTGGGCTCGTTCCTCTGGGAGACAAAGGCAGTGTTAGGACTGTGGCGGGGGAACCAAAATCCACCGAGGGCTTAACAAACTCAATGGCAGAATATGCGTCTGACTTGGAGAATGCTTGAGTAACACTTTACTTTATTAATAGTTAAAGAGCAGCCCTTAAACTGTTACTAATCATTTGTTAGAGTATTAGTACACAAAGATTCACTAACAATCAAATTTAATATTACAAATATTACATCTCATTCCTGCCCCACAAAGTATTTACTCAAGAACTTGTAAATAATTATTCATAGCTCATCTCAGAGTTTGCTTACTAAACTGTTTTATATTTGCGAGTGATTTACAGGCTGTTTTGTAAAAGCCAGGAGCAAGACATGACTAACACATGTCTAAATTTGTGTGGGGAAAAATGTTGCTATTGAAATTAACAGTTTATTAAAAGTTAAGGAGCAGACCATAAGCTAAAGGGGCTCTGAAGCTTGAAACAGGTCAAGTGCTCATTAAAACCAGCTTCTCATTGTGCAGGAAGAGCAGACCTGCGCGAGCCAAGCTCCTCAAGGTTCACTGGCTGAACGGCTGACGGCCCAATCAGAGCCCTGAACTACACTGACGGCCCAATCAGAGCCCTGAACTACACTGACGGCCCAATCAGAGCCCTGAACTACACTGGCGGCCCAATCAGCTGGGGAAGAGAGAGCCCTGAACTACACTGTCAGAAAAAGGGTACAGCTTTGTTCTCCAAAGTATAAACAATAGTAATGTAACCCAATGGTACAAATTTTTGTCTCAGAATCCATTTCTGTAACTTTACCTACAGCTAGGGTACAATTGGCAGGCCCTTGAGGGTACAGTTCCAGTGACAAGAAATTGTACCCTCAAAGATACAAATTTATACTTTTTCTCCTGACGGTGCAAAAGCATCTTTTTGGAAGAAAATGAAAAAGGTGAGACACCTTCAGAAGGTTCCCTGAAGTCCGCAGAACCGCCGCGAGGAGGTCCGTCTCTGTAGCGACCCATCCCTCCGGAACCGGGGCCCCTCCTGTCACCAGGACGACCGCCCCCTCGACTCCGCCCACCCATGAAGTCGTCGTCTCTAAAACCTGGAAGGGAGAGAAGTGCGATGAAAGGTAGAAGTACCTTGGAGCAACTTGTAGTCTCTCCACTGTCAGTGAGAATGGGTATGGGATGTAATCATGGGGGGGGGGGGGCACACTGCCGTACCCTCCCTAAACAAAATTAAGGGTTGTTTTGAAGACCGGCAGGATCAGGGAGTGAGGGTCCGAATCAGTGCCGTAAGCCACCGGATCCCAAACCGAGGACTTTCAGGCTTTTGGGCAGACTGCGTGCGGGGGTGGGGGGGGGGGCGGGGCCAGATATTTACTGCGCACCTGCTGATTGGTCGAAGTCATCTCGGGAATCCCGTCCCCCTCCTCTGGGGCCGCGAGAGCCTGAAAGCGACATGGCCTGATTACTGACAAGGAGGGGGCTGCGGCGGGGGGGGGGGGGTTGAGGAGAAGTGCTGCCTCCAGCTCCACCCCCAACCCCTCCTTCAGCCTTTCGCAGTCGGCGCTGGCTCAGTAGGCTGGAAGAACATGTTCCAGGAGATGGGATTTAAGAAGGCAGACGGATGCAGAGGAATTTTCACTCAGTGTGGTCCGTCTTACAGCATGTTTAAATAAGCATGCACTAAAAATGCTGAGTCAGGGTGATGTGGGAGGGCAGCGCTATGAGGATGAGTAATGAAGTATGAGGCAGAGGAGAAAGAAAAACCTGGAAGAAACTTAATAGTCATTACTTCTGTGAAGGAAAATCAGCTTAAGATGCAGAAATTTACCCTTAATACAACAGAAACCGGAAAGAATTAAGAGACCATAGCACAATTTTTTGTTTCACTCATTTTTCAATTTATGGGTGTGCATCTGTGAATAATATATATATATTTTGCAAACTCCAGCCTGGTTCTTCCCTATTTCTTATTAATGAAGGGCTTCTTCTTTGCTTTATGGGTCTCCAGTCCTGCTTCTAGGAGCCTGATACGAACTGTCCTAGCAGTGCACCTCACACCTGCACCTGTTCCCCATTCCTTTTGAAGGTTACTTGAGGTCATCCTACGATTCGTGAGAAACTGTCAGATAAGTCAACGCTCATCTCTGGCATTAGAGAGTCACTTCTGCCCTCTACCTGGCTGGTTTCTGGTCGTTCCCAGTGTCTCCTGCTTCACCTTGTTCTTGTGAGCTGCTGTCTTAGACACTCTGAGCCTGGGAGCAGCCTGCTGCTCAGCGTAGCCTCTGTCAGCAGAACCACGATTAAACCGGGATTTAAAAATGCAGATTTTTTTTTTTTTATGTAGGAGTGGTCTCAATTTTTTCTAAGCTGTATTGTGCATTTTAAGTTTTTGAGAACGTAGGTCAATCAGGGACTGTACAGCACAGGGCTCACAGGAATGAGAGCGATTGGAGCCGATGAGAGAAGGGCCCTCAGAATGGAACCACAGACACGGCTAACGAAAGGGAGAGCACCTCTATCGTCCTGTTTCCGGAAGCCGAAGCCCCCGCCGCCTTTCTCTTGCCGGCGGCCCTCCGCGATGTCCACACGCAGCGTCCGGTCTCCCAGGAGCTGGCCGAGAGAGACGCAGAGGGGAGAGACTATCTCCTGCTGCCCGATCGATCACTCCTCCGGCAGGCCGCCATTCCCAAACCCGGCTCGGGATAAACTTACGGCGCCGTCATACGTCAAGGCTTCCTTCAGGGATTCCAGGTCGTCAAACTCCACGTAGCAAAAACCTGAGGCGAACAGAAGGTTTCAAACTGCTGGCTACATGTTTCACCCTCAACCGAGGCCCGTTTCCCAAAAGCAACGTGGCCAAATCGAGACCAAGACGACTTACAGACACCTATGCACTGTAACAAAGTCAGATACTACACATGTACATTTTACACACATTTAGCAGATGGGTTTGTCCAAAGCAAATAGCACATTACCAATATGCCTGCTGTTGGGGAGTTAAGAAGCTCTTGGACAGCTAGGCTGAGATTCAGATTAATGCCCAGGTACAAGGGTCAGCAATGTTGGAGCACATTGGACCTTAGAAATTTCATTAGCAAAAAAAAAAAACAAAAACAAAAGTGAAATCTTGATGCGAGTTCTGTGAAAGAGAATATGGACACAGGTAGAGCTGTACCTTTGAACTTGTCCGTTTCTTTATCCCTAACCAGTCGGACGCTTCTGACGCTGAGGTCTTTGAAGATGACGTCGATGTCACCCTGCACGGTGTTGAAAGGCAGGTTTCCCACGTACGCGGTGTAAGGCGCCTCGGAGGGCAGCTCCTTCTGCTTGCGGGGGCCTCCTGAGCCGCCGCCACCTCGGGGTCTTCTATTCGGAAAGGACTTCCGTCAGAGGAGACGACGGCCATGGCACAACCACACTCAAAAACCATCAACGTGGACCAGGGCGCCACGGATGCTGTTGGGTCAGAGGTGTGAAATGTGCCTCTGAAGGCTTTGCCTGCAGTCTGAAGAGCAAACTCTTAGGTAAAGACCGAGTACGAGATGAGTACCGGTGCTGGCTTTCTGGTTTTCACAGATACCCCTTAGGGATGGGTGATGTATATTAAACAATAAAATAATTTAAAAATATACAGTATATATATATATTCTAAAATATCGGGATAATCAAAAATATGACACCCACACACATGCACAGCACCATAAAAGCATGACAAACAATAAACAGAATCTGCTAAACTAGCTTGTGTTACCACTAGCTTAAGTGGGGGGGTCGCTGATCATCATTTTTTAAGTTGAGTTCTACAGGGGATTTAAAAACATGGTCGAACACGATTTTCATACATCATGTACCTTATAAAGCTCTCTGTCATACTATCCAAGAGCTTCTGTTAATTTTCCCTGAACAAAGGTTATGTTCTGACATCCTCTCTTTCCAGGCTAGTGTTTGCCGCATGGTGGGTTGCTGCAGAATGCTGCTGGTGGCGATTCTGTTGTACGTTTAGGCTCAGTTTTTAGGTGTTTGATTAGATTTCTTGTGCGACGTGAACTAATTTCGTACTTCCACTCTATATTTTAGAAGAGCAGAGATTTCTTGTCTGTCATGCTTTGGTTTTTACTAGAGTTGAGCCGGATACTCGGCTGAAACGAGTATCCGGTACGGATAAAGCACTTTTGACGAGTACGAGTATCATACGAGTAATACAAGTCAATATCTGTGCTCGGATTGAATAAAAATTCTCATTGGGTAGCTGACTGTGTCTGCGTTCTGTGATA